GCAATCATTACCTGGATTAAAGAAGGAAAAAGCTCAAATTACTTTACTCTTTGTACAAATGCTTCTGGATCTGACCAGCTTCCAATCTGGATTATCGCAAAGCAAAAACACCTCGATCTTTACGCAATATTAATATATCTACAATGGGAGCTGAGTGGAGGTGGAACAAAAAGGCTTGGATGAATTCAACAATTATGATCGACTGGCTTCAAGCATTTTATCGACATATTGTCATACTGACATTCATTGCACTCAGTTTGCTATCAAACTCAAGAGCAACTTGGAAATCTCCTCCTCAAACCTACAAGTCACTATACATATTTGGCTTATCACACCAACAACAAGAGCAATACTACTCAACGATTGCTACAACCATCTATGATTTATTACACGTCATCGCTCCTTAGTTACTGGGCCGATATTACCACATAGTATATCTCTACAACCCTCTATGATTCATTACATGACATCACTCATACTACCACATGACATATCTCTACCAACTAGAGGCCTAGGAGCATGAACAATAGCTCTAAAAGCTCCTACGAACCTCTATGATTCATTACATGTCATCGCTCTTTAGTTACCCACAAGATTGGTTAAGTTATGACATAGTTTGTCTATAGGGGTACTCTGACCTTGGACCTCCTTTTACTTCCTATAGGCTACGAACCTAAGAGATGGTTCTATGGATTCTCTTACGTCGACTACAGTTACCAAGCCTGGTTAGTCATGGAAAGTCTTGGAAAATGAGAGAACTACACTCCTTTAGCATAAATAGGATTGCCCTTTCCTTAAGAAACAAGCAGACAATACAGTAAATCGACTATCACATACTTCCACGTCTTTTCCAAGCTTCCAAGCATTGATCTTGTTACTCCTTGTTTCTGAAAAGTCAGTGAGGTGTTAACCTCTGACTTACCCCTGAGTTCCCAGACTCAACATTTGTTGCAACTTGTCTGAACCACTTCACTACATCACACACCTGATTGCTGCGTTGTGGAATAGTCTAAGCTACGACCCTTTGGCTATGTTTTCTAAGACAGTGTGTTGTCTTAGTAAATTCATCCCTTCCTTGGGTGGCTAGATTCTCACATCTGGTGCACCCACCATTACACAATTGGCTTTATTCGACAAGTCCTTCTTACAATGGACAACTTTTCTGCACACATATCTGTCCCCCACCTCCTAATATTCTGATCCGTTGGCTTCCAGCTAATAGTACTAGTCAATTCCAGCCTCTTGCATTATTCAATCTCTTAAAGCTTATTACCATCGACAATGGCTCTCTTTTATGCTTGAATGTTATAATTCAAATCTGGATCCGATTAAGCAAGCAAGATTACGACTGTCAATTTTGCTGGATCTTACGAAGCTGGAATCAACAAGTTTTACAATCAACTATATACATTGCTTTCAAAAATCAACACTTCTTACAACTCTAATCACTCTTCCAACCTCAATTACACCAACAGACCTTTCACAACTATACGAACAAGTTATTCAAGCTGGCAATATACATGATTCAATGGCTATTTTGAACTTTTTAAATCCTATCAACAAGCAAATCAACAATATAGAAGTTACAACAGATGAGGAGGGTATACTACAGGAGATTTTGGATGAGCATCTTAGTGATCCTACTCAAAATGATGAGCAAGAAGAGGAGCCTGAGACTGAATAGGCTGGTTATTCAGCCTCTGATGCTCGCAATGCCCTTAAAGTTCTTATTGAGTATACGGAGTGTCAGGATGCTTTCCCAGCCAATCACCTCAGGGCATTAGAGCATTTGGAGGGCGAAATTGAGGCAATTCAGCTTAATTCCTTGGTTCAGGAGACATTGGATAGGTGGATTACATAATACTTGGCATTTCAATATAACGATATTTACACACGTCACCAATTGTATCGACTTAACGGGAGTTGACTGTAGGGGCGATGGGGAATGGCGACGGCGAGGTGGCGACAGCGAGGTCGAGGCAGTGAGCCGGCTTGGTGGAGGAAATCTATTAATAGTTAGCGTCTGGTATATCAATCTTTACAGGGCTTGTGCAGATCTTTTGCACTTATGATTCTGGGTTTGCTGGAGCGGTTTGGTGGGGTATGCTTACGTAACCGCTTACAAATCGGGGTGTCCATCATGTTTTTCGCTTAGTATTCGGACACCGGTGCTCGTATACTGGAACTCGTATAATTTTCATTTACCGCAAAGATAATCCGGCAAGGGCGGCATCTAACACAGGACCCATTCCATTCCCCATATTGGCCTGCTAGCTAGCCCTCTAGGAACTACCGCCGTGCCCTCGATACATTCATGCTTTTCTCAATAGTTGGTGTTATATTTTGCCAATTAACACGCTGAGAGGAGAGAGATTTATATATACAGGTCGATCTTTATTTAGGATTCATTTCTCGTCGTGCCACTCCTCTACTCGCCCGATAGCTCCCCTCATTGATCTTCGAGAGAGCGAGTACCAGAGTTCTGACACTACAGATCCCAGTCTACTCAGCCCTGAAGGTGGAATCCACAATTGTCAGTCCTTCTGGGCAAGGCTGACAATTGTGGAGAATCCAGCACCACGCCGATTCCACATTCAGCTTTCTTCCTAGCTCGTGCTCTTTTCAATTCCCCAAATATACCCGGCCTCTATATATTTCCACTTTTCCCGTCAGCTGAGTTACTGTCCAAGGAATTCTGCACTTAGGAGCCGTCAGCTTCAGCTGCACATTGCCACTCAACGGCACAGTTCACACACTTGTTATTCCTCTGTCGACGACATATATACTTCCTCCAACTGCAATCATCCTGAATCTTGCAGAAGTCTCATATCTCTTCCTCTACCGACGAAATGGCCGACGCCGTACCTAAACCAGAGGAGCCCGTCTCCAATGACGCACCCGCCTCCAACGACACCCAGCAACAACAAGAAGAACCCAATTCCCAGAACGAAAAGTCCGAACAAGAGCCAGAAGCACAGGATGGCGGTTCCCACCACGCAGACCAGGAATCCGAAGCCGTAGGGAAGCGCTCGAAGAAGGGCAAATTGAAGGACAAGGTCGATGAGAAGAAAAAGAAGGCTTACGAGATGGCCAACCCCCGGGTGGATACGACTCGACGCCCGTCCCGTCGGCTCCAGATGGATACACCGTCAAATTCACATTCGTCCGTGCCGAGAACCTGCCCATTGGAGATCTGGGCACGGGGTCTTCGGACCCGTGCGTGATAGCGACCTTGACGAGCCATGGGATAAAACCGAGACACAAGGAGGACCCTGAGATGAGACTGCGGACAAGGACGATCCAAAAGGATACCAATCCTGTGTGGAACCAGGAGTGGATCGTGGCAGGCGTGCCGAGCAGTGGCTTCAAACTGAAGTGCCGCCTCTACGACGAGGATGCCAATGACTCGGACGACCGACTTGGCAACGTGACCGTGGTGGTGCCACACATCAGCGAGAACTGGGAGGGGATGCGCGAGACTAGCTTCCCGGTCAAGAAGCGGATGGCAGCTGGCGCGCGTATCTCCTAAAAAGCATCACGACGATGTGTGGCAGCGATGGTGATCTGTCGGGTCAGCTGTTCTTGAGCATGGAGGTGCTGGGAAAGAGCGATAAGCCGTATGGGAAGATGTATACCGTGGGACCTACGGGGTGGACAAAGCACTACAGTCCCATGATTGGACGTCTAGCTGGCACCAAGGCGCCAAAGATGGAGGGACATGAAGGCGAGAAGGCCAAGGTTGAAAGATATGAGTAAGTCCGCTCAGTCTCCAAGGGCATTTGGAGCCGCTTCAGTCACCATCCCAGAACTAACCAGCTACAGTTTCCAAGCCAACCAGATGCAACTGCAAGGCCCTGTCCCCGACGAACTCTACCACCGCTTTGTAGAATTCAAACCCTTCGTCAAGGGCATGTTCGACAAGACTGGCCTCCGCGGACACGTGCTAAACGCCGCCCTCCACCACCAGCACGCGCGCGTCTACAACTACTCCAACACCACCACCCACGGCACCATGGAACCCAAGTCCAAGAAGCCGCGCTGCAGTTCCTCAAACTCGCGCACTTCGACGAAGGCAGCCGCCTCTTCACCTACGTCCTCACCCTCGACGGGCTCCTCCGCTTCACCGAGACGGGTAAGGAATTCGGCATCGACATGCTCAGCAAACACACCATGCACAGCGATGTCAACGTCTATATCGCCTGCTCGGGCGAATTCTTCATCCGCAGACTCAAATACAAGAATAGCAGCCCCGAAGATTCAAGCCAGCAGACCCACCCCACAGACGACATCGAAGGCGGACCACCGCACTCCCCTCCCCCCAAGGACCCATCGAACTACGAACTCGTAATCGACAACGACAGCGGTACCTACCGCCCTGACGGTTCGCTCCTCCCCGCACTCCAGTCCTTCCTCGAAGCCAACCTCCCCGGCCTCAATATTGTCACCAAGCCGTGCACGGACGACAAGCTGCAGCGCATGAAGAAGGAGCAGCGCGAGACGAAGAAGAGGCAGGGCGAGCAGATACAGGTGTACCAGGGCGATATCAATGGGGGCTGGAGCTCGAGTGATGAGGAGAGCATGGATGAGCGCGCAAAGGGGAAGAAGAGTAAGAAGGATAGGGTGTTTGATGCGATTGAGGATCCGGAGGCGGCGATTAGGGGGTTCAGACATGGGGGCAGGCCGAAGAGGGAGGAGAGGGAGGGGGAGGAGGATCGGGTTGATTATACGGTTGAGGCTGGGGAGGGGGAGGCGAAGAAGTGATGTTCGACCGATCGATAGTGATGGTCGTTAAGTCGGACGCGTGGAGGCTTTTAGTGCCATTGCTTTGTATATGGGCTTCTCTACTACTTTATTTTGCGGGCGGGTTTTCGTTTGTTTGCCATGGATGCGGAGGGATTGCAGGAATATTTTGTTGTTAATACGCGGACACCCAGATGGCGGGTGATATACACGGCCTTGCGGCTACTTATGCGTTTTCTTTTTATCTTGGGGGTAAGGGATGCATGTCTTGCTTGGGAGCAACTGCGATGGGGGGTGTTCACATTTTTCTTTTGCATGCATTGTTGCCAGTCGAAGAGAGCTATCTCAAGTTCAGGATATTCACCATTACTTTTTCTCTTTGTGCCAAGTTCAGTCTTCTTCCGTGTATCTGAGTCCAGATATTGGTACTTCATGGAAAGAATTGAGGATATTTGGCCTTGGCTAAGTTGGCGACCTTGAGCTTGAGCGGCATACCAGGCTATAAGTGCAGGCTGAGTGCACGGTGTAATGGCGGGTGCACCAGATGTGAGAATCTAGCCACCTAAGGAAGGGATGATTTTACTAAGACAACACACTGTCTTAGGAAACAGAGCCAAAGGGTTGTAGCTTAGACTATTCCACAATGCAGCAATCAGGTGTACGATGTAGTGAAGTGGTTTAGACAAGTTGTAACAAATGTTAAGTCTGGGAACTCAGGGGTAAGTCAGAGGTTAGCACCTCACTGACTTTTCAGAAACAAAGAATAACAAGATCAATGCTTGGAAGCTTGGAAAAGACATAGAAGTATGTGCTAGTCGATTTACTGTATTGTCTGCTTGCCCTTTCTTAAGGAAAGGGCAATCCTATTTATGCTAAAGGAGTGTAGTTCTCTCATTTTCCAATACTTTCCATGACTAACCAGGCTTGGTAACTGTAGTCGATGTAAGAGAATCCCATAGAACCATCTCTTGTTCTATGGGATTCTCTTATGTTCACTACATGATTAGCAAGCTAGTTGTAGGTCGCACTTGATTTCTAATACAGTTACCAAGCCTGGTTAGTCATGGAAAGTCTTGGAAAATGAGAGAACTAGCCTATAGGAAGTGAAAGGAGGTCCAAGGTCAGAGTACCCCTATAGACAAATTATGTCAGAACTTAACCAATCTTGTGGGTAACTAAGGAGCGATGACGTGTAATGAATCATAGAGGGTTGTAGAAGCTTCTAGATCTATCGTTCATGTTCCTAGGTCTCTAGTTGATAGAGATATGTCATGTGGTAGTATTGGCCCACCCCCTTAAGGAGGAGATATTTTTAATAACTTGTTCAATGAGTGTCCAAATGATATGCCGTGATGTATGTAGCATAAACAGATGTAGTATAGGAGTTGCAGCTATCGTTGAGTAGTATTGCTCTTGTTGTTGGTGTGATAAGCCAAGATATGTATGGTGACTTGTAGGTTTGAGGAGGAGATTTCTAAGTTTGCTCTTGAGTTTGATAGCAAACTGAGTGCAACAAATGTCAGTATGACAGATAGGGGCGTAGTTGGAGGTCTCTGCATATAGAGAGGCAGTGAGGAAGCTGACTACCTTGTTGCAGAGGTCGTGGGTGAAAGTGCGCTGCTCTGGGAGCTTGTAGGAAGACACAAATCCTGTACTGGCGAAATCATACATGACAGTGTGTTGAATTATTTTGGTTTCTCTGTCAATAGCATTAAGCTGGCCACAAATGGCTGCTGTTGCTTCGTAGCTCTTGGGCGTGCTTTCACCTAAACAGAGGCGAGGAGGGGGCACAGTATGCATACTGAGTGTCCTCTGCTGTCTCTTGGAAGTGTGATTGAGGTTGGATGGTGATTGTGGGTCCTGGGGGCGGGTAAAAGCGCTGTCTTGGGGGCCTGGATCTGGCTGTTGGGGGGTTGAGTCCTCTATCACCACCTAGAATGGCCCGAAAAGGGCTGGAATGGATGGGGATGGGAGTTTAAATTACGTAATTGACTGGAATTAGATCCCTAGGGGTCTTGGGGAGAAAGTTGTGAGCAATTTGTCAATTTGGAAAAATAGTTGTAGGTGAGCAACATCACTAGCATCATCGGCTGGCAGCACACTGCTGTCCTTTCAATTTTCCTCCAAGCTAAGATCCTAAAGCACTTTCAGAACTATGGCAACAATGACTCTGAGAACTTTTGGCGCCCAAAGATTGCAGAGGGTGTTGACAACATGTCCGAGAGTGATAGGGAAGTGGAGATGGAACTCTACTAGCGAAAACAGATCCATTACTTTAAGCTGTCGCTCTTTGTTAGGATTATAGGGTTTGCCATTAGGCTTGAAAGTAGCATCTAGTTCTATAGGTTAGGGCTAATAACTCTTTGTTTGTCTTCTCTTCTAAGTCTAGTGTTAGTTAAGTAGTCCCCCATTCTTCTCAGTTGCTGTTTATAGTGACGATTGTCGATCTTCTAAGCCAATTCAACCATCTCCCTAAGGTCATCTGGTTTGTTAGACCTTGAGATTTCATCCTTTACATGGCCCTTTAGACCTGTGTAGATTTGGTCGCAGATAGCCTCTTCTCCCTAGTTAGTGAGTATTACAGTGTCGGTCGCAATCGGGGTGTTTCCTCTTGCTGGTTCTATGTTACGGCTATAGTAACATGATGTCATGGTTACAGGGCCAGGGCCTAGTAACGTGACGTGTGAGTCACAGTGGGAAGCGGGGTAGGCTGCCATGTGACGTGTAACGCTGACTTCTAAACGATAGAAGACACAGAGGTTCTCTTGCGTAAAGGTTTACTTATCAGAGGAGGCAGGGGATCAGACACAAAGGCTTCAAGTAACACGTTACTAGTATATAACAAATACTGTATTGAGTTGAGCACGAAGCTCCTATCTAAGGAAATACTATCTACTTATATAGTGGCGTCGTGCCTAGTGGACTCTTGGGAACTCACTCGAGTCCTCGGAGTCCTGGACTCTTAGGACTCTTCTCATCATCCTGCGAGTCCATCACGTGCCTAGTGGACTCCTGGGAACTCACTCGAGTCCTCGGAGTCCTGGACTCTTAGGACTCTTCTCATCATCCTGCAAGTCCGTCACGTGATACTTTCGGAACTACTATTCCCCGCTGCCCCTCCAGGTACCAGGGCCGGTCTCATGCGACCTCCCTCCTTCCTGTCCTGTAGTTGGCCAGCCTTCTTGTTCCGTCGTAACACTATACAGCTAGGGAATAGAGCATGGATGTCAATTATCTCAGGAGTTAATTCATATAGATGGGCACTCCTGCTGTTCATTATTTTCAAGGCGTAGGATCACCTCTCTGCTTAGTACGAGGACTTGGGATTACCACACGATTAGGTGATTACACTAAGTGAGGATGGGTGGACTTTAAATTCAATTAGGTACAAGTGGATTCAACACTTTAATCAACATACAAATGGTCGTTCGATCAGAACCTATCACCTTCTTATTCTCAACAGACATAAGAGCCAGCTCTTAGCTTAATTTCAACACTACTATAATAAGTTTATATAAATCATTTAATGCTTTATAAGCATTATGTTCTGCTTGTGAATTATAGCCTAACTTATTAAACCCTACTTGTTTAAGTCTAGGGTCTAATAAAGTAGCTATAAATAAAGGAGCATTATTTTCCTCATAATGCTTAATATTTTCTAAGTTTTGTAAGTCCATCATTTATAGCTTGCTTTATTTTCAAACTCATAGAGCGAGTTGGCCACACAAGCCAGTTGGACAGCTTTCCTTGGCATTGCACGAACAACTTCACTTTCCATTTTTAAAATCAAAACAAAATGCCTCTTACTTGGAAAGAAAGCGATATGGTTCTTGCATGTCAGGCGCTTCGATCAAACCCTAAATTAACGGGGGGCATATGGCAGCTGTAACTGCTGCAAATGGCATGCACATAGAATACTAGGCATTTAGTATAGATTTATATTGTCAATTAGATAGCTACTATACTCTTTATTCTACAGAATTCATTCCTCTCATTCTTACATGCGTTACGCATGAGAAAATCGGTACTTTGGACAAAATTGCCAAGCCAGCCTGCGCAAGGGCCCCTAGCTGGGACCTACTCACAAAACTTATCGCCAGTACATAACGAGCGATCTCACGAACGCACATCGCTTACCACCACGATTATGCTTTGGGTTTGGCGCTAGCAAGACGGAGCCCGCTAGCATGGGGGTGTTACAGGGGGCTATAGGGGGTGGTGTAGATCGTACTGCTAACGGTATGTAATCATGTTAGGCAAAAGATCTATATACCCTGTTTGACCCCCGTAAAGATCTATACAAGTATGCCCTGTTTCAGTATGGAGTCATATTTTATAGGGCAAAAACTCCATCTACCCGGTACAAAGGTGAAAAAACGCCATCTACCTGGCAAGCACTTATCCCCTTTCGGAACCCGCAACAGGCCAATGAGAGCACGTACTCTCATGTGGCCTTTTCGAAACAATTGAGCTGGCAACACTTGCCAACTCAATTGTACGGTAAGTCGGGGGTTAATTGAGACCCCCAAAGCTCCTTTCCTCCCTCTTCCCCCTTCCATCTAGAGCCCCGCTGACCCCTCCTAGGATCTCTCTCTCCCTCGCTCCTCTGACCCCTCGAAACCCCCCTCGGAAGCCCTCGCGCGAGGCACAAACTCCCGCCTCCCCGCCCCCGCCCCCGCATCTGACGATGGCCTCGCTGGCCGAACTCGCTGTCCCTGTCGACGGCAGCGAGTTCCTCGACTTAGACGCTTGGTCCCGCGCCCTAGACGACTGGGCCGTCAAGGAGAAGTTCTCCTGGCGGCTCCAGAGGAGGGACAAAGACCGGGCAACGGCCGTTTGTCCCGAGGAGGGCTGTGCCTGGCGTGTCCGAGCCAGCCCTGACGACGAGCAATGGAAGCTCGTCGTCATTGAGGGGGCACACACTTGCATGGGGAGGGGGCAGCAGAAGTTTGCCTCCTCCTCAAAGGCAGAATGGCTGGACGGCGTGGTCTCTCGACACCTACGGGTGTCGAAGAAGACCACGCCAAGGGAGATTGTTGAGCTCCTCCGCGTTCGATTCGCGGAGGGGATTCTCTACGGGAGGGCGCAGCAATCGTTGCTACGCCTTCTCGTAGGGGATATTGGAGTGCAGAGGCATAGCTTTCAGCTATTGCCCTCATATAAGCGCCTCCTGGAAGCATCTGCTCTAGGAGTTCATGTTGATCTCGTTCGAGATCGACACGACCGATTCCAACGGATCTTTGTGTGCCCTGCGGAGAGCAGGGCCACGTTCCAAGCCTCACGCCGGCTTGTTGCGGTGGACGGGACCTTCTTAAAGGCCCGTTTCATCCTTACTCTTCTTGTGGCCGTTGGCATTGATGCTAACGGCCACATTGTGCCACTTGCTTGGGCAGTGGCCGAGTCGGAGAACGCGGACTCTTGGGAGTGGTTTTTGAACCACCTCAAGTGGTCCCTCCCAGAGCTCGTGAGCGAGCCAAGCACCCTTGTCTCTGATAGAGACAAGGGGCTTCTTATTGCGGAGAGAACTCTCTCTCCGCAGGTGGTGATAGCTCATTGCTGTCGTCACCTCTCTGAGAATTTCTCAGAGCGGTTTGGGAGGGGCCTTCTACCCCT